AAAAAATATTATTGAAATAATTATTTTATTTTATTTTTTTTATAATTTAATATATCATTAAAATATTTATTTTTTTAATTTATATTAAATTTTTAATATTAAAAACACTTAATTATAAAATATTATATAAAAAATTTCATTATTTTATTTTTTTATAATTTAATATATCATTAAAATATTTATTTTTTTAATTTATATTAAATTTATAATATTAAATACACTTATTTATTTAATAATATATAAAAATTATATTAAAAATAAAATAAAAAAATTATTCCAACAACATCACTATTCTTATCATCATGGCTACTGATCTACGCTAGCTTTCGGTAAAAGCACAAGTAGCTGACGACATCTGCTACGTACTGAAACCAATTTCGATCCAGATGCGCTTTATTCAAGACCTAGCACAAAGATTAGGGACAATTTCTTACCAAGAAAGCTATTAAATAAGAATATTAAGTAAGCATGCCATGTACACAGTGATGTCTTACTTAACATCAAGTGATTTGTTATTTTCCTAGCACCAACCAATGCAAATATATCATTTGGCAGTTTAATCGTTGAATCACTAATCTGTAACCTGTTAAAATAAGTGCAATTTGGCATCTTTTTTCTTAAATATACAAAGATATTTAACATGATTGATCTATTATTTTTTATGCACTAAAAATACAAGTGTTCGGTCAGTTCTCAATCTCAAACTCATAGGTTGCATTAACAATTTAAATAATTTAGTAATAATTTTTTTTTATAATTTGAAATGCATGACAAGTGAATAAATGAATAAAACGGTATAAAAAATAAAAAAATGTTGTTTTTAATTATGCAAATCAAAATAAATAATAATAATAAGACGAAATAAAAACATGATAGGTTGCAACTTCATAGTGCATAAAGGAAAATGATAGTCATTGGACCAGTTTTACTGCTTTCATCAATTGCCATAATCAAGAAACATATTTTTTAGCAGCCAACATGACTGATAACATGAGTTATTTGTCAGTGTTGTTAAACTAAAATTTAGTTGTTAAACTTTATTCATTAATAGTACTAAAAAAATATATTTATTACAATAATTAAGACTTATTTGTTCATTTTTACCCTTACTTGCAATTAAACTAGAAAATCTTAATTCATTTTCTCTTTTAAGATAAGTCCACAATTGAAAGACTGATATTTAATAATTTATAAAATAAAAAGTGAAACAACTAAATCAAATAGGAGGAAATACATGTTAATTTGATTAGGTTGGGCACATGTATGGTTCAGAGATTGTGCACGATCCAAGCTTTGCAAGCTGGTGTGCCTTCTACCTCTCAAAATTACAGAATGTTAATGAACATCTAACAGCATATCAATCTTACATGGGAAGATAGAAGGTAAAAACTAAAAAGGCAATCAAGTTGGCCATCATTTGTGCTGGGTAAAAATCTAAATACCCAAATGGAAGAAAGACCCAATAAGTTAATAAGCCAACCTTACCCTTTGGACTGTTTTTTGTCTTTAACCCAATACGTTAATTTGGCCCAATTAATATCAGGAGCGGAAAAGGGAAAAAGGAGAAAAAAGGATGAAAATTGAAACAAAGAAAAATGAAGAACGGAAGATGATATAAAGACGAAAAGGAGAAGAGAGAATCAGAGAGCTCGGAAGAAGGCGGTGAGCTACGGAAGAAAATCACGGGAAAAGAAAAGAAAAAAAAACGGAAGGGAGGCGGCGGCGGAGGAACTTGTGAAAGGGAGAGAGTGAGCTTCCGAGAATGGGAAAGGAAGAATAAGCAGAAGCGGAGAAGGTAAAGAATCGAAGAGGAACACAAATCTGAAATCCGTGCTAAGGGAGGGAGGATGGAGAGCTGAATTTAGGGAGGCAAAAAGGAGATTTGAGAACTGTATAGAGAGTAAAGGAAGGGAATAAAGGCTGCTACAGGGTATATTTCATTTCTTACGTTTTCTCTTTGCTCAGGATTATGAATGTTCTAGTCTAGTTTTGAATGCTGAAGTTTTCTTCAATTGCTTCTGTTCTAAAATTCCTTCAAAAAAATTTTTTTTTCAACTAAAATGTCTGTATTCCCAATATTTACTGTTCATGTTGGTCTTCCTTGGATGATTTCGTCACATCTGAATTTCTTTACATATTAAAATCAACAAGAATTGGGCTCTTATTGTTTATTTCAGTTCTTTCCATGACCCCACTACTAAATGGACTTTCCTTCTGCATTCTTTGATATTGCTATTAGGTGTTTGTGATTAGTTCTGTTTTTGATGTACCTTCTCCAATTTATATATTATTTTTTCCTTGTTGTTGTATCCCTTCGTACTCAGAAAAGGAAGAAGGGACCATGGCTGGTAACAAAGCGAAAGACAAAAAGAAGAAGAAGCGCGGGGGTGGCAAGAAGAAGATGACAGCTGAGCAGCATTCTGCTTACAAATCAGTGAGTGAATGGGTTTATTTGGAGCAGCAGCATTTAACTGCTGCTTCTTGTGTTGTGGATGACTTTGGGGTACAGAAGAGTTTTGGCAGAGGAGGGGAGAAGGTGGTCTTTGAGTTGCACTCCCATTCCAAACACAGTGATGGGTTCTTGTCCCCTACTAAGCTTGTGGAGAGAGCACATATGAATGGGGTGAGTGCAGATTGCGCTTGAGTGGCTCTTTTCTTTTGAGTTTTTAAATAGATAATTTAAACTAAATGGGTAAATGAAGAGCTTAAATGAGTGTTGTCCTTTATGAGTAGTTTTAGTTTTTGGTTGGTAATGCAAAATGCTGTTAGCTTGTTAATAATGGTTTATAGTGTAGGTATTTTGAATAACCGTTCACCAAGAAGGGAGAAAAAGTATCCAATTACTTACTATACTTGACCATGCTTTTTTTCATGGGTCATTTATCTTTTGTTGCTATGAGAAGTCCCATGATTAGCTTTTCTTTGATATGAGTTTCAGTCCAACTCTGGGTTCAAGCTTGACCAAGCCCTCCTTGGGGACATTTGCTCCTCTAAATAATAGACTAATGGTATCACAAGAATGTTTTTCACTTGCTTATAGTTATTCGTTTAAATGTTAGTATTGGTTATGAACAAAAAGTGGAAGAATGACAGCAGAATTGTGTTTCTTCCTATATGTTGCAGGTTTTACAACTTCTGTTTTTTTATAACTTTCTGTTGCCTTGCCTATTTGTTTATATAGGGGATTTCAATGACAATATGCTTTCTTTTTCACTTCCACATCTGAGCTTGAGCTCCAAAAGGCTAAAGCCACTTATAATTGGAGAAAAGCAACCATTGTGAGGAAATTATTTGATTCTATCAGGTAGAACAATGTAGTAGGAGGAAAGGATTAGCGCAACAATTGTCATTCTACAAAAATGCAATTGGAGGGAATGCAGCTTTCATGTAAAATTATCTATTAGAATCAAATGGTTTAATGCCCATATTTTAATCTCTACATTTTCACTTTCTACCATGCAGAGTATATTAGCCATTCTTGCATTTTGGATATTTAATTATTTTGAAAAATTATGACTTAATTAATACATTTTATGTATAATAGGTAAAAGTTCTTGCCCTGACAGATCATGATACTATGTCTGGGATCCCTGAGGCTGTGGATGCAGCTCGCAGATTTGGTATGAAGATAATTCCTGGAGTTGAGATCAGCACAATATTCTCCCCAAGGTTTCCATATAATTTTCCCCATGTATGCAATGAATTTCCTTTTTAACAGTTCAATGGTGCTAATTTTGTCTTAGTATTTTAAGGATTCATATGCTGAACTTGTCAAACCTATCTTTTAATTGGAAATACCTAGAAAATAAATCAGAATTTTCTTTTCTTCTTCATTCTTCATTCTTCTTTTTTCCTTTTTCCTTTGTTTTTTTCCCTGGTTTTATTTTCTCTGTATTTATGTGGCTCTAATTTTAATCTTCTTCATTCAAATGCAGTAATTTTGACTTAGAGGAACCAGTCCACATTCTTGCATATTATAGCAGTTGTGGGCCAACAAGGTATGAGGAGATTGACAAATTCTTGGCAAATATAAGAGAGGGACGTTATCTTCGTGCAAAGGACATGGTCTTAAAACTCAATAAGCTCAAACTACCTCTTAAATGGGAGCATGTTGCCAAGATTGCAGGCAATGGTGTTGCTCCTGGGAGATTGCATGTTGCGCGAGCTATGGTAGAAGCAGGCTATGTAGAGAATTTGAAACAAGCTTTTTCCAGATATTTGTATGATGGTGGACCTGCTTATTCAACGTAAAAGTCTAACTATTAGCTTTGTATTTTCTTAATTGTAACTAATGCACTTTGTTTGTTTAGAAATTAGATATAAGCTGAGTTGTAATATTTTTTATGTTCTGGATCCAGAGGAAGTGAGCCTCTTGTAGAAGAAGCAGTACAGCTTATCCATGAAACTGGAGGTATGGCTGTTCTGGCTCATCCGTGGGCATTAAAGAATCCGATTCCCATCATCAAAAAGCTGAAAGATGCTGGTCTACATGGGATAGAGGTTTACAGAAGTGACGGGAGGCTTGAAGGTTAATTAGTCAAATCTCTTATACTTTCTTTCTTTCATGTGCATAGGTATTTATGCTTACAGAGATGCCCTGCCCCACATCTACAGCACATATCGATCTGCTTGTATTGCTGCTTAGGTTCTATACCTTGTTATTAATTTTTCCCCCCCTTTTAACAGCATTCAGTGACTTAGCAGATACTTATGGTCTCCTGAAGCTGGGAGGGTCAGATTTTCATGGGAGAGGTGGACACAGTGAGTCTGAACTGGGAAGCGTGAATCTTCCAGTTTTGGTTTTGCATGAATTCCTCAAGATAGCTCGACCTATCTGGTGTGGTGCAATTAAGGACATGCTAGAGATATATGTTGAGGATCCTTCTGATTCAAATCTAGCAAGGATCACAAGGTTCGGGCAGATGGGTATTTCGAAAGGAAGTTCTGCCCTAAATTGTGGGAAGGATTTGATTGATCATTACTTGCCCTTGTGGATGACAAAAGAAGAAATCCAGAATGTTGATTTTGAAGACATCAAATTGAAACTTTCTCACATGTCAATCAATATGAGTGCAGGAATTGTTCCAATGGGGACTAAATAGTTACTGACTTCAAATGGTAATTAAGTCTACTGGTTTTTGATCCTATTAAGCCCTAGTATTCATCATCTGTTCATCTTGTTGCTTTTGAGTCATATGGAAAATGCAACATGTTACAGTTTTCAGCTTCTTTTTGTTTTTTTTTTCCCCTACCTTTGCATCTCCTTTTGTAGTAGACACATCTTACTACTGTTTGCATTGTGGAGCTTCGGCTAGTAACGGCCTGATGAATATTTACTATTTCTAATTACTTCTGTACTCATACTAAATTATAACCATTATAACCTAGCTAGAAAAACCAACTATGGCGGGCTGATATACGGCAAAGCAAAGCAAAGCAAAAAACTCTGCATTGGAAGAATAAAATGTGAATGATACTGAATTGCTAATGAGTTCGTGGTTTTTGAGGGATAGACTTTTTTAAAATGAGAAGATGTCACATCAACTAAGAGGTTTTCTTTTCGGTGATGTTTTGGCTGCTATTGAGAGTTTGTGGATTGTGATGGATAAGACCATACATGGTGCAGATGGGTTTGCAGATGTCATGGTTTGGTTTTTTTTTTTAGGAAATTGGGAAAAGAAGGATAACATCAAGATTTTTAAAATCGGATCGGTTATTGAACCATTTTTAGGTCTGATTTTTGGTTTAACTGGTTCAATTGGTTCAACCGGTGAATTGACCGGTTCAAATAACAAAGGAAATTTGATGAGAGGGATAAGTAATTTTGTAATTTCATTAAAATTAAGGGTTAAAATCGGTATAAGAAAAGAATGGTGAGGGTGAAATTGGAAAAACTAAAAAGAAAATTGCATGAGAAATTGAACCAGTGGTTTTTTTGGTTCTATCGGTTCCATCGGTTTTATTGGTTTTGACCGATTTTGAATGGTTTTTGACCAGTTTTGACCTCAAATGGTTTTTTTGTGTGAACCAAGCCGTTTTCATTATCGGGTACCAATCTAACCGGTTCAACCAACCGGTCCAATCCGGTTTTAAAAACCTTGGATAACATTATAAAGAATTGAATCATAGTGGTATCAATGATTAAGGGGTACTCTACCGGTGTAACTAGAATTGGTTGCGTATTGTTTAAACTTTAAAGAGATGCTTTTAATTAGTATCAAAGTGTATTATTATTCATCTTTACTTAGTATAAAATTATGTTTAGTTTAAAAGAAATTAAAAAAAGAAAAGAATGAAAGGTGATATTATTTTAACTAATCAAATTATTTCTTTAACCTAATAATTTAATTTAATTGATAGAAATCATGTCCTCTCCTTTCAAATTAGGGATGGCAATAAGGCCCGTGGGGTCGGAGACCCCTTCCTCATCCTCGTCCCCACAATTCACAGGGACGGGGATCCTTGTGGGGATTTTTGACTGTCCTCGTTCTCCACCAAATATCAAATTCTAATCTATCTTTTACAGAGCAGATGGCTTTTGATAGCAACAGAGCAGAAGGGTTTGTGAGCAACAACCAGCATAGTGAGCAGTAGCCAGCAACAGCTAGCAGAGTGAGCAGCAGCAGAGCAGAAGGGTTTATGAAAAGTAGAAGGACTCGTGAGCAGTAGTAAAATAGAGCAGATTTGTGAGCAACAGTAGAGCAGATTCGTGAGCAACAGTAGAGCAGATTCGTGAGCAGCAGTGAGTAGAAGGGTTTGTGAAGAGTAAAGCAGATTCGTGAGCAGCAGCAGAGCAGGTTCGTGAGTACCAAACCAGAGGCAGAAACTGAGATTTGAGAAGGTGAGAGTGAGAGTGAGAGTGATTAGAATAGAGAAATGAATTAGGGTTAGGGTTAAATTTAGGAAAATGAGTTGGGTTGGGTTTGGTAAAATTGGATTGGGTTGGGTTTGGTTAAGTTGGATTGGGTTGGGTTGAATGGTATTGGATAAGTTTAATTTTACTTTATTATTATTATTTTTTGAACATTAGGGGATTGGTTTGGGGAGGGGAAGTAAATCTTGGGTTTAGAACTTAGGACACGATATCCTAACCCACGCATTTAAGCGGGTGGTCATTAGGCCACCACGGGTTAGACAATTTTAATTGGTTTGGATTTGGGTTTAAATTTGAAAGGTAAATTAAATTTAAAATAATTTTTTTGACGGGGACACAGATCCTCGTGGGACCCCATGGGACAGAAAAAATTTATGAGGAGAAAATGTCTCCCATCCCTACCTCGTGAGAAGAAATATTCTTCCCCACCTCGTCCCCGTGACAAATCGAGGAAATTGCCACCCTTCAAATCAAATTTCAGTAAAAAAACTAAAAACCATTCCATTTTTCACTTAAACCCACCAAGAAAAAGTGAAAGCAATGCCAAAAGCTTTAACCAAAGTCAACCCACTCAACCACGTTCGTTCTTAACAATTTTTTTTGGGCAAAGCAACAAAATTTCCAGCCTTTTACCCAACATTCTCCACCTTTGTTCCTGAAACAGGGAAAAGAGTAATGATTTTGGTTATCTTAACAGTGAAAATATATGAAAAGAAGAGGGCTTTTCATGCTCTTTGACCATGGATGATATTGAGAGTTAAAACCAAAAAAAGGGGAGCCGGCTGGGCCATGGGTAGCAGTGGCTGCCTGGCTGGCTCCTTGATCCGTGAAAGAATTTATTCCCAAATCCAAAGTTAATGACTTTTTCGGTTGTCCCAGTAAATGGAATCGTTAATCATTATGCCACAGAATATTTGAGCTGCATCATTCTGTCCTCGCTGTAAAAATTTTTAAATTTATGATTATCTTTCATCTAGGTTTGTGAGGATAATTCTTTTCTTCTATGATTATCTTTCATCCAGGTTTGTAAGGATTATTTATTTATTTTTACCTTTTTTACATTGGAGTTGATTATTTACTATTATAAAGGTTTAAATCTTTTACTTTCATTTTAAATTATAATTTTCAAGCTAATAAGTATCAATTTTACCAAATTTTTATTGGTGCATAGTTCTTTATGTTTCCTTAGTTCATCATATGTTAGTATGTCCTTATTTGAACGTTTTTTTTTTTTTTTTTTTTTTTTTTGCCTTCTATTTGAACCGGTATTGAAAAATGCATGAATCTAAGATAGAGGATGTGCTTCAATTAACAGTTTTGAAAATGATTTGCTTACTTTGTGTGTTGGTTATAAATTTTTACAACATGACATGACAATAGTTTTCATTGACTCCCAGAGTGCGTGAATTAATCTATATTTATTCAATTAACACCCTCTAATAATCCAAGCACCAGTGGTCTAGTGGTAGAATAGTACCCTGCCACGGTACAGACCCGGGTTCGATTCCCGGCTGGTGCACTTGCATCTTTTAAGTATTTCTAAGGATACAGTTAAAAATATCTTTTTAGTATAATTATTGTTAAAAAATAAAAATTGATATTTATTTAATCAATTGTCTAATTATAAAATGATCCACATGTATAAGTAAGAAATTAATATCAATTTTTTTCATTTTTAATTTCAATTAATGTTAAAAAAATATATTAATTATACTCTTAATTTATGTCTTAACGACACATTAAGAAAAATCTATTTAAAAAAATAAAATAAAATCGCCAATATATATATAGTTAATCTTCCTCAAATTGAAAGTTCAAACTTACCATTGACAGTTCATATACACCACACCACCACCCCACCCCCCCGCCATGGATGGAGCTCCCAACAGGAGATAATTGCTCCAAATGTATAAAGAGACTACCTCCACTCGGCTGAAAAGAGGAAGGCTGTTTTGTTTATATACATTTTCCCCCTATACGCTAGCTTTACATTTTCTCATCATGAAATGACCTGAAGCACTCCTGCCGGTGGTGAACCCTTTAAGAGAAAGGATAAGGAAAAAAAAATAAATAAAAAGAGGAGTACTTTGTACGACTTGAAGTGTTAATATATGAGGTTCAAAGAAAAACAGATTGAATGTTGATGCTTTTCTCTTGGCTGCGGACGTATAACAAAAGTAATCCTTTAAAAAGAAAGCAATAGAGAGTATAGAGTAGGTGCCTTGATCATTTCTTTATCTTTTTCTATGAAATTTTAATGTATTTAGTTTAAAAAAAGGGAGAAAATTATTATAACTAATTATATTATATCATTGATTCAATGACTTAATTAATTTAATTAATTGAAATAAAATCACTTACCCTTCCCTTCTCTCCTTTCTATTTCCCTTAAATTAGATAGACTATACTAAAGTTTCTTTTTCCCATGATTCTATTCACCTATGGCATATAAAAAATATATATATTGCAATTTCAATTATTTGAGAATCTTAAAATGTACAAAACTTCAAAATTAACATCTTAAATCTTGAATTTTAACTATAAAACAAAGATCAAGTTTGTTTTCTAATGTTATTCTTTAACTTGACTACTAAGATAGTACTAGTGTTTGATTAATTTTTAGTTAGTATTGCATATCATATCATTTTTGAATGTTAAAAAACATAATTGAATGCTCTACTGACCATTTGAAGACAACGAGAATCCAATGCCTCAGTCATGATGCTGCCTCGCGAAATATTAATCCTCCATTTTAGTGGAGACAAGCCTCCTATGAATCCAGGAGATATTGGAGCAAAATATTCCTGAGTTTGAAGCTTATCGGTTCATAATTGTACGATCATTTATCATTCTCGAAAGTCTTTTTGTAACATTGCTCTACAAATTAATCATTTCCAAATTTATAGTGTAGTGAAAGTACAAAATAAATACCTCATACTCTATAATTTGGTTTAAATCACTCGGGAAAAGGAGTTTGCAAGAGTGGTATTAATTAAGTTGTACAATTATTAACATATAAGATTAATATTTATAAGCTGAAATTTTAAAAAAATTAAAAAGAAAAATACTTTGGAACTATGGTATTATTTGAGATTGTTGTAAAGTGTTATACATGTGACTTTTCAAGTATATTATTATTATAAAAACTGTGCTATTGTGTGATAATTATTTTGAAAAAAAGTGTTATACATCAATATATATAATTACTAAGTTATACAAACATTAATTAAAATTAATTTAATCATAATAAATTTAACATTTTTAGTAAGGTGTTGTGCAACAAATATATATATATATATATTGTAAGACTGCAATCTCATATAAACCTATGTTGTTTCAATATAACACCACATAAAAATACCAAAATTGTTTCATTTTTTGCTTTAAAAATAAATTATTTTAATTTTTAAAATAAAAAATTATTAAAACTATATAGTTATTATTATTATTATTTCTTCTAATTCTTTAGATATTAAACTAATAATCACTTTTCTCTTAACATATATATAATGGTCAAAGAAAGAATAATTAGAATACCATATATAAATATTAATTACTTAATCTTTGTATTGCTAATAATCTAAATGATTCAATAGTAATTTTCTTGTATAAGTAAAATTAAGTTCTAGTTTTATAGCATGTTTGGGTTGAGAGGAATAGAAGGGAGAGGAGAGAAGGAAAAAGTTTTTAATTGATCAAATTATAATGTTTTTAAAACATTATAATTTAATTAATCAAAAAATCTTTTACACTCCTCTTCCTTCCGTTCTCTAAAAAAACATTATAATTTGATTAATAAAAAAATCTTCCACACTCCTCTTCCTTCCATTTCCTTCGATTCAAATATAATGTTAAGTTGTAGCAGACATGTAAGGAGGGGTAACAGTAGAGTGACGATAGGCAGAGAACTCTCAACTTTGATCCCAAGCTTCAAACAGATATATAATTTAATTGTCTTGTAATTCTATTATTTGTACTGTAGTGAATTGCTTTCGAGGCTCTCACTTTCAATATATACAGTCACATACGGTACGTTTGGCAGCATAAGAGCAAAGAAAGTGGAGTGTGTTGGGGTAGGAGCGAGAAAAAGAAAGCATAATTTGGTGTCTTGGTCATGATAATTACCTCCATGTGAAATAAAAAACACCAAGCATAAAAAACCTCTCTAGAAAACAGCACGCAAATCCTTGAAATTTTTAACCCTAGATAGCTCGCTATTCTACCCCTCAACCTCAAGCAATCATCATGATCATGTCCTCCTCCATCTTCCCCATCTCATCATTAGTCCCTCACCTCAATCGACACGGCAAGCACTACTCCTCCATCGTCCTCTGTCCGCCAATCCCACCAAAACCGCCGCCGCTGCCTACCACCTCAAGGAAGACCGGAAGATAAGAAGAGGATGAGGAAGGTAGAACAAGAAGATATGGATTCCGTCAAGAAGTAGAAACCCTAGCTAGCTACCTTTTCCTTGTCTGATCCACGGATTGAGTTAAGGGTTTTCTTTCTTCTTCTTCTTCTTCATGAAAAGAATCTTCTTGTTCAGAATCATCTTATTTACTTGGGGAATGGAAGTATCATGGTCCGATATTCTCTAGATCTATATATATCTCCACAAAAGATAATATATGTCCGTGGTTTTAATTTTGATTTTGCATCTAAAGCATACTTTGTCTATGTGTGTTTAGAGTACTCTTTCTTGCTTCTTTAACTAATTGTTGCTTAATTAATTTGTTTTGATTCAAGCAACTAGTTTCAAAAAAGATCTCAGGAGGTCGAGATCTAGATCGATCGATCAACCTCTATATATTTTGTATGAAAAATAAACGTTTTGTTTCTTGAGAAAATGATCATAGTACTCTTTAATTAATTGATTCTTATATGCCATTTGATGCATATACATATATATATCATGCTCCGTTGCTGGTACTCTGAGTAGAAAGGTTTTAGCATACAAGACATATATATATGTCCTATATATATATACACAAATCCCTGAATTAATTTCCTACTTCTTCTCTTCCAAGTAGTTATAACAAGCATGAAACAAATTAAGAGAATGATGAGTCTACTAGTGTTGAGCTTTGAAAAACATAATATTATGCATTTAAATTCCCTTTGGCAGATTTCTTCACGATATTATGTATTTTCTCGAATAATGATAGTTAAGATTAAATTTTAAGACAAATTTATAATAGTTATTGATGATAATGTGAATTTTATATGAATACAGTAAATTAATTTTGTTCTATAATTACTCTATTTTCTGACCGCTATATAACTTCTTCTGCTTTCCTTACCTCCTCTCTTTTTCTTTCTTTCTTTTTCTTTCTTTCTTTTTAATTAAATATGGTGCATTATCGATCCCTTTGATTTTTTTTATGCAAAAAAATGAAATATTTTCCCGATTGTATTTTGTATCTGTTTTCCTCGGTGGTTGGGCTATATATACTACCCATTTATAGAGACGAGGTCCCCCAGCCGAGT